CTCAACCATTGAGCACTCAAATATATTGGAAGCGTTCTCAACATGAGTGAGTGAAAGGCGTTATCGGAAATGTTTGTGAGTTTGCATAAGAGGTATTCGAAAGGAAGCACATGGAATGCATAGGAGTTTGTAAGCATTGCCATCAAGAGCATTCAGTTCGAAACAGGAAGTGGGGAAGGGACTTAAAAACATCCAGTATTTGAAAACATTTATCTTTCATTTTTGGAGCACATCTGTTTTTGAAGCGTTTTACGATGTATTCAGTTCAGTTTTTAGTCGGATCCATTCGTTCATGAGAACGTCCAACACATTTTCCGGTCTTCTATTGCACAACTCAAACTTCATGTATGGTGCAATTCACTGCATGATTTTGTATGACATATACTTTCGAAGGGTTTGTCCACTCATTATGCGCCATATATCTTCATTCTATTTGATCTACTGAGATACTTTAGTTAGCTGTGATCATCACTTAGCTGAAATCAGTGTGATCGTCGTTTAGTTAAAATCACTGCGATAAAATCACAAACAACCCACTTTCATGTGAGGAGTTTCTCACATTAGGCAGTCTCAAACACATTCATTACTGTCAGCGAACATGAAGTTTCGTTAGAAAAATTTATTCGATAATAAGGACAAAAAGATTCTATCAAATACAACATCGAAATTAGCAAAGAACAATACAGGACTGCAAAAACTCTAGTAAAATATCTTCAACTGCTTCAAGTGTCGCTGCTCCGAAAAACTCTACTATTGGTCGATCCACGTGTCCATTTCCGACTCCAGCGAGTGGTAGCGATCGAAATTCGGATTTCGCATCATCCGTGAAAGCAACATTTCACGCGATTCTTTCTGAACACCAAAAAGTGATCAAAACAGTTGCGTTCGCAGAAAACATTTGACGAGTTTCACTGCTTGCAATAACATCACAAAAATTCAAAGAGATATGAATGCATTCATTTTAAGCCAACATACCGCAAATATCGTCTCCAAATTTATCACTCCAATGTTGAATGTTTTCTTAGGAACTCTATCGTTTGTGATGTACGATTGTGGAAGAATGAATCTCACTTTCCTATGTCCAGGCTGAAAACGCAATTTGTTGTTTTCATGAAAATGAATAACAAATCGTTTGGTTCTTCCAAAACCTCTCACTTGACTGTTTAAAGTGTCGAATTCTGAGCAAATTTGTGACTTTCAATGATACTTCCGACATCTATTGGACCAGTGAATCTCGCTTAATCAAGTAATGCCTTTACGTGTTATGTGAATGACTATTGGGAACACCTTTTGCGACCTGGTGTGTTTAGATAATGCACTAAACGCACCTTAATGCTATCGTCACAATCATGATAGACTTTGAAAACCGGATCAATCGGAGTTAACTCGGCCGTACCACCTGACAAACTGAATTTTCCGTCTGCGTCCGTATATCCTTGATCTAGGAGGTCGTCTGGATCAGGACCTACAAGCAAAGCTTTACAGTCAATTATCTGAATAAATCAGCACACAATCAAACTTTCGCATAACAAAAGTTTGTTCCAGCAATGAGAATTCAAGCGAGTTTACCTTCGTCATCATCCCAGAGTTTAACGCGTACCCTCGCAGCAGGTGCCTTACCGCATTTCAGTTGGCCTGTGACAGCGATAGACTGGTCGCGAAGCACTGCCAAAGAAGGAAGTATCGCGACAGCGAGCAAAACAAGCACCAATCGGTAAGTCATGTTTTCGCTCGAATGAATGACACTTATCGGATCGTATCATTTGAAGGAAACGACCCGATCATATCAGTTTGATTACTTCGAAATTCCGTGAGATTGTTGTTTACTTGGGATGGTTTGTTTGCGAAGAAAATTGCAATCGTAAACGACATGTCGATTGCTTTTTGAAATGTGACCCTTCAACTAAAATCTCAGTAACTCACATGCTTCACATCATTTCTTCATCCGACCACCTTTCATATCAAACAAATTTGACGAGTAATTGACCAATTCTTCTGTGAATCAACTGTCATTCAGCAACGATACCGCAACATTAGGTGGCTCCCGGAGGATCTGGAACTATGAACCGTCTCAGTGTAACATACTGAATAACACTACTTTCATTGCCTTCATGGTCCGCGGAAAATGTTTCCAGGAGAATGAGCATGAAATATTGCTGCTACGCACTGAAATATCATCACATGAATTTGTTGAGATATTGGCGCATGTATTCGTCATTGAGATAGCTTTTTTGCAATTGCAAAGGTAACCTCTCAATTAGTTTACGATTTTTAAAGATAGTTGACCATAACGACACTCAATACCTAAAATGGTGCCCACACAATTTGCCTAAAGACGTTATGCCTATTGTAAGGACAGTTTGCCTAAAAACGTTATGCCTAAGGACAGTTTGCCTAAAGAAGTTATGCCTAAGGACAATTTGCCTAAAGACATGTTACCTAGTGGACACTCTTCCTAACGGACAGTCTGCCCAGCATACAGTTGTTAGATGCACCCGTTCAGAACATGTTGCGAATGTTCATCTCGTGGTTATCTGTACATATCAACGTTGGTGATTTTAATGGCTTCAATCAAAGTTAAGTTTTGACCAATGAAGTTACCAAGAGGAAACAACGCGTCTAGTTCATCTTTATCACCGGCGATGGACAGCTTGCTTCAGCAGTCTCCTTCAAGTAACTATGTTTGCTTTCATACACAATACATTTCCCATAAGAATGAAAGATGATATTTATTATTAAATATGCATGTTAAAATACATGAAATTAGACAAAATGACATTAGGCGAACTCCACTGGGCAAACTGTCCGTTAGGCGAAACGTCTTTAGGCAAAATGTGCGGTCACGAATAAAATATGGATCATTAATCAGAAAACACTTTCGATTATATCAGATGATCGAGCCTAACATGTCAGTCCAGTTGCCATTTATACCGTATGATGAAGTGTTCATCATTTGCACTCACCATCAGCTTCCCGAAACTAAAAATTTCCTCCACTCAGGTGTAATCACCACAAGAAATCAGTACAGAACCATCATAATTAAAAGTGATCGCAAGTACTAAAATAAACTCCATCGAATCATGACACTCCATTCTCATTTCTTGTTCCTCGATTTCTTCCCAAGTCACGCAATTCCATTCGTTTCGAAATCATGGAATATTCGTCCGTCGTTCAGCTGATGTGGTAATCCATTTTTCATTCGTTTCGAGTTGCCGTCACATGGATTTGCCACTATTTTGCTTCATTCATTTTCCTCAGACTTTGTTCATCAAATACAGAACAAATGATGTTGTCCGTTGGTTTGTTCACGACTGACTGCCAGCCAGTCATCGTCTCAGTATGTCTTCGATGCAAACTCGATATTTATCACCTACACCAGACAGAATTCACGACATTTTTCGTCAACAAAGTATTTTCTAAAACCATTTATCAACGGAAATTCCAGAAATGAAGCTGACTGGTTCATTTGAGCAATCAACAGTTGTGTTTGTTGTGGAGGATCATGCAAAGCGAAAATTTAAAAATTCATTCCTTTGTCGCCCTCAAATTCAATCGAACGAACTGTCATACCAACAACAAATGTTTGTGTTTATTCACCTGAGAATTGCGGGACACATCTATGCTGAGACGGATCTGCGGTATTGTGGCAATTATTTTCATTCCAGTTCATTCACAGTATTACATTCCTTATTATTATGCCCATACTATTAAGATGATTGTAATGAATCTTATATGAAAGGTGCAAATGTTTCATCGAGAGCAGCTCAATGGAATGCAGCTTCGACTTTCTATGCAGAGCAATCGAACGAAAATAATGCGAGCTTTAACGATGCTTTATGAAACTTGAGAAGGTTATTTATTCGGTGAAAATATGTGAGTGCAAAACAAAAGTATTTTTTATCGATGAGAATTGTTCGATTAAAGAAGGTATCACTTCGAGCGAACTGTTCAGAATGTCGGCAAACTTCACGATGGAATTACTCGTCAAAACCCCAGCCAGAATCTACGAGGTTGCTGACCTTGTCCCTTCTCTTTCTTGATGTCAACAACTCGCGTTCTTCTCCCTTCAAATAAGGCAACACTATGTCAGATTATAGACTGATAATGGCTCATAAACTGCAACGATCCTCAGTAATTCGCATGCTTACAGATGTTAACGGTTGAAATAATCAGCTGATTGAAATCGCTTGCGTTCACGATTTGAAAAGCACTCGTTGAA